GTATTTCTGAAATACGACAGGTCCAAATTACAAGCTGGTCCAAATACATGGACTTCCCCTACATTTCACAATCGAATATTCTGGACAGATCAGCACTCACTCTTTGAATATTTTCGATCATTCCTGAACGATCGCTGTGCCTCATCCAGTTATGACAATACCTCTCCTCAAATGTCGCCATTCAGAAATCCCGTATGACTGCAAAAATGACATCGCAACCCGTCGTTTCCTTTTGGTGCGTTCTGTCACTATATCAGTCACACTAAAATTTTGGCGGCAGGCCTGTTTTTACTATGGAAATAAAAATAAATAAATAAATGCAAACGTGGGAGGTACCTACCGTCTCTTTAAAGCCACTAACGTGACTTTTGTGGTAAATTACATTTTCCGTTACATTTTTGCTTTCCCTCTTATATGTATCCATTTAGCCATGCGCATTATTCTAGCCTTCATATACCGTAATATTATACTGCAGTATCTAAGCTGAAGGATAGATGGGAAATCGAAATTCCGCTCGATTTGTTTCGTACGATAATTAACAAAAGCAGACTCATAAGTGCTTATTTAGAAGATTTTAACTAAATAAATTTCGCCAAATTTTAATATTGCACATGGAAGGATGTTCTTCGATTTTTCATCATATCCTTACAAATTCCGCCGGCCACGGTAGTCGAGCGGTCTAAGGCATGTACTGTCTTCATTCGTTCGGAAGCCGGGACCGTGCATTCGAATCCCATTCAGGGCATGGATGTTTAGTGTTTGTGTGTGTGTGTTTTTGTGTGTTTGTGTACAGGTAGAGGCCTTGCGACGAGTTGATCACCCGCCCAAGGAGTCCTACCGAACGCCAAGATCTAGAAAAACCGAAGTGAACGGAGAGTTTCATGGAGGTAGACCAAGGACCAAATTGGGGGTGTAGCGCCAAAAGGAAACAATGACAAATTCCATGAAATTTCACCACATGATACAAACAACTTATGAATACAGAAAACTCATTTTAATATAACCTAATTGAGGTATTATTAATTGATTCAAAAACACAGTCAGCTTCCGGGTCATTAAACTCCTCGCCTTTTCCAGATATTGAGAGTTTATTACCTTGTTCACAGGGCCTTTCATTTAAGCCTCTTCTGAGCCAGGCGATTCCGGTACACACTTTCAGGCGTTTTTAATATTATCTTCCCATTTAAGACGTGTTTGTCTAGTGTTTTCTTTCTTTAAAGTTTTCCTTCTAAATTTTCGGGTGAGTTCGGCAGAATGAAGTAGTCCTATTTATAGAAACACGAGGAACACGAATACACGTACAGTGTAATGCACTCGTGACACACGTGGGACCCGAACACACAGTTTGTACTCCTGCACTGTCCACAAGAAACAAGTGACTGGAAGTCGGGAGTTCACAGAGTGCCGCGCCACCAGCCGTGCAGAACCAGCTGCTGCTGCTTCTAGACCGGTCTGCCGGACACTGCAATCCGGTGTATCGAACCTGTACAGGCGGCTGCGCGACCTGGGGTCCGCGGGTTCAACGTTAGGCGAGTTTAAGAATTTACATCACCACTAAGGCGGATATCAATAAAACAGTGCCTGGTATTTCCTTCACCTACAGCCCTACTATCAAATCCACAACAATGTTTGCAGTTTATGTACGTGTAATGGTGGTAATTATGCTTGCCACTTATCGGCAAAATAAACGATCAGCTGTATCATACTCTAGACGTAGTTCCTCTACCTGCCGCCAGAGTATCCACCTCCGTGTCATATTTATCACGTGGTTAACTGCCTGCCATTTACCATCAGGTCTAATAACACCGTATTTCAATGTCTGAACATATTTAACATAGAAAGAAAGAAAGAATGAAAGACAGAAAAAAGAAAAGAAAAAGAAGAAAGAAAGAAAAATTTCCCTGCTTTTATTTCTTAATCCTGAAGGCGAACATAGGAACAATAATTTCATAATTACTCGAGCCTTTAGCACAAATCAGGCCTACAGGCGAGATAAAAACACTTGCTTTGCCTGCTACAGACATGTGCACACTAAAGTGCATGGTAACACAAACACAACAGACATTCCATGACCACTGTCATTAAATACACCACACCACTGAGGTGGAGCATAACAGAATATGAGCCAAATGCAGCCAATGCGATACGAAAGGGACTGCACCAACATGAATTCATCAATTTGATTTTTTTTTCCCTCGGCACTACAGCCCCAGTGGGCATAGGCCTACCTCCATGAACTTCTCCGTTCACTTCGGTTGTTCTAGATCTTACACATTCGGTAGGACTCCTTGGGCGGGGTGATCAGCTCGTCGCAAGGCCTCTACCTGTACACAAACACAGAAAAACGCACCCACACAAACTAAACATGCATGTCCTGAGTGGGATTCGATCCCACGATCCCGGTTTCCAAGCGAGCGAAGACAGTACATGCCTTAGAGCGCTCGGCTACTGTGACCGGCCATGAATTTAATTACCTCCTTTGAAATGGTCTTCGAATATGTTCAAGTAATGAGCATTGCGATATTAACTAGGCACATAAATGAAATAATTGAGATTTGTTTTGGATTCCGGAGTATCAGTTCAACTACTGACAGGTAAATAAGTGGAATTATTTGTGTGCTATGGCCAAAGACTGCTCATTTAGCTCCTACCTTGGTAATTTAGCAACGGTGATAGTAAGAGGAAGCGGATATTCTTAATAGTATTCACGTCTGACTCGCATTTATTTTGTGTAGCACATGAAAAGTTTACACTAGAGCACCAAGTGTTTTTTTACGTGAATTGTATGTGAAATGTAACTCCGTTAGGAAGAAACAGAAGAAACTCAGAACCTTTCCTGGAGGTCGAGTTCCCTGCAGAGACGTTATTCAGTATCTTGTCATTAAAGTACGAACTGGTGTATTCTTTTATTGCTAGTGAGGTGGGACTAAGTCCCTTGTACTGTGGCCACTTCTGGCCTATTGTACCCGCCCTAGATGATAGGTGAGGGTGATTGTGGAGCAATTGGTGGAATGAAGATTGGCAGGGGAAACCAAAGTACTCGGAGAAAACCTGCCCCAGCGCCACTTTGTCCACCACAAATCCCACTTGACCAGATCCGGGATCGACCCGGGCCGCCGCGGTGGGAAGCTAGAGACTAACTGCTTGAGCTATGGCCCGGCAACTGGTGTATTACTAGACAGGCAACCAAAACGTCATCATCGAATCAATAGCAGAGAAGATGGGAGAAATGAACTTCAACATTCGCCTCGTAAAATTCCCATTGCATTGCACAAGAAATACAGTATCAAAAGAAACCGCGAAAACTGATCCAAAATTATTGAATCACGTTCCTACAAAATACATTTGTGCACCCTTTGAAATTAATGATACAGTTGCCAGACTTAATTCCTGACACGTTCAGTACTTTACGCTTGCGAGCTTTATCCCGAATTCACTTATTTAAAGCATAAGCGAACACGCAACATGATAGACAATGGAGCGCAGAAAATTTGAAATTCCATTCAATGATGTAAAATTTGGTATTTGGTGCGGCCTGAATGCCAGTACGATAATTTGCCTTGTCTTTTGTACAGAAATAATCCACTCTGTAGGTATGACAGGCGTTTTTCAAGTAGGAGACAGACGAAAAGAAACTATGTGGACATATTCTACAGAATTCTGCATTTGCGCATGTCACAGAACATTCCATGCAAATCTTGAATAAAGCGTTAGTAAAATGGTTATAAGCCATCGTTTATGTCCAATTTGTTTTCCCAACATTTGGGATATTAAAAATAAGTATATTTAACCACTGGCACACCCAAATATTCGAGGCCTTACGCGGATTCTACACCGGACATCTCATACTCTTCCCACATTGTACACAACAGACCCAACACCACGAAGGTTCGTAGTTCACAGACAATGGCCACGTAAGTACAACTATATATAACACTATGACTCAGACACTAAACAACATAAAACATACAATATGTAATATATTCTTGGCTCATTGCAGGTAACAAAGACAGAATCTATGAAACACACATCGCTACAAAGACTGAACATAAGAAAGAAGACCATGACACACAATGCATTAATTTATATCATTTTAAATTATTTTAAAATAATTTTATAAACTGGTGGCCCTTGTGAATATGGTAATGAACCTTAGGGTTATATATGAGCGGGTAATTTCTTATAAGATTTTGACGATGTTAAACTTGTACGATGGCGAACTCCAAAGTAAAAAAGCAAAAAATAAAGCTATCCCTGTACCACTCCGTGAAGGCCCATAGGGTTGTGACACGTTGAGGGTCCCACATTTCAAACTCTGAGGAATTTCTTGATTAGTTGAGAGACTATGAGTTCTGAAAAACGTCTCAGCTCTATTTAAACCTATGGTAAGGTCCAAAAAAGCAAACCAAAGACAAAATTCAAAGACAATTAAGACGTATTCTTGAGTATTATAGATTTGTGTTCACAACTCAAAAACAAATGCCTTTAAATGGAAGTAATTAGTATAATATAAAACTGTGCTTGATGACAGGATAAGAGAGGTTACCGTGGAAAAATAAAACTCTGAACGTCTAAGTTATATACAAGTCCAGCAGTTCGTATTAGTAGTTGTACAAAATGTTGAAAAACCAGTGATAATCTTACGACAACCACGTGACATTTGTGGATGGGAGGAAAACTGTACAAGCCCTCAATAAACTGACTTTTATGTTGAACGTAGTTTCTTTTCTTTTTGCCCAAATGCATTATTATGCTGCCTATTCTATGGATGGTGAAGTTATACCACGCGTTCATGCCATGGAACTTTATTTACCCTTTTACCTTTACACTACATAAGGCTTCATACAAAATAGTAATGACCGTAATGACTTTGCGTATACGTAGTTCAAGCAATTAACTATAGTTAAGTTTAGATGACGCTACCGTCGCTATCGCCTGTTTGTTGTTTCCTAAAACAATTACTAGGTGGTGCGGGCGGTACTGTCGCATTAGCAGTTCGTGGCTGTGTCAGTTGGTATCGTTGGTATGGTTGGTATTGCGTGTTACTGTTTGTGTTATGGAAGCTTTCGAATTAGCTAAATTTAAACGACAGTCGGAAGCATTTAAACCAGTATAAACAAACGCCTTCCCATGGTTAGATTTAAGAACAGGTAAGTTTGTTTGAATCTGCTGGATTTGTTATAGTTTAATGGGTATAATACATGCTAATCGCTCTCTCTGGAGTGGCTATGATTAACGTGTGAAATTTGGCGTTATCACAGCTGTGAATATGAAGATTGTTGTTTTGTGGGGTGTGATTATGTGTACTCTGTAGATATTTATTGACGTTTTGGAAGCTCGTATTGGTCTATATTCAGGATCGATTATGAATGTGGCATAAGTGCGTTCTCTAGAAACAGACATAAACATCTACCACGTGGGATAGCGATGTCTAAATGAATGAATGAATGAATGAATGCGTAAGGGGTTGGCCATAATAATCCGGCCCTTGCATTGCGACCTTCAGTGATGATATTGTGCTTCCCCGTTTCTGTTTAACCCATTATCAACCCTACACTTCTGATGAAATGTAGGACTTTGTTTATGGGGCCACACCATAGCTCAAGCGGTTAGTCGCAGGCTTCCCACCGCTGTGGCCCGGGTTCGACCCCTGGTCTGGTCAAGTGGGATTTGTAGTGGACAAAGTGGCACTGGGGCAGGTTTTCTCCGAGTACTTCGGTTTCCCCTACCAATCTTCATTCCACCAAATTCTCCATGATCATAATCACCTGGGGCAGGTACAACAGGCAATTCAGTGGCCGCTGTACCGAGTGGACCCAGCTAGACTCCACCCCCTATTAAGCGAATTATTAGCACTAAGGTTGTCAGCTTTACATGCAGCCCTTTACCCCGGCTTGTAGCATAATTAGTTATGAAATGATAATTTTAGTAGATTATATAGAAATTACATTCTTTTAATCTTATAAGACCCAATGCTTCTGAAAGCTTAAACTGACAAAATATTTGGCAGAAGTATGTATTGGGTGTTCAGTGTCTTCCCCCCCCCCACCCCAAGGAGATGCCAATGCTGAGAATCAAAACTTACATCATTAAGTCTGTTTTTATCCTACTGTCCTTCCTTAAAAGAAAAGGACACAAACAGAAAGGAAACACAATACACAGTCAGCTTAAAGGTACTATAAACAAAATCAAATTATGTGAATGAAATTGAGTACCACTGGACCTAACATCATTCACTTAATTTTTTTGAACTTGTTCATCTGCTCTTTTGATTGATGCAGCGATTTTCTTTGTTCCACCCAGCTGTGTTAAAAAATATCGGTTCCTTCATATTATTTGTAGGTATATTGTGATTGAAGTGAATCCCACTAATATGAAGCATGAAGCTGCCTTGATACTCAAACCTACAAGCCTCTATTTTTCAATCATAAAGAAAGTTCAGCAACTCCATGGTGATTTTGGGGTTGCCGCAGTAAAGTCAGGACTTGCAGGTATGTTCATTGCTGTGAATGTACTCGGCATTAAAAGCTAACATTTCGATACTTCACTATAGTACATATTCTGTCACACATTTACCGTACTTTATTACTGTACTATATTGCAAAAATGTCAGGTCTATTTAACTGTCATAAGTGCATGCACAGTAATTATGTAAGCTGCTAACAACATAATTATTACATTAAGAGTTTTAGGCTTCAGAGTTGTGAACAAAATGAAATAATCCAAAGAAACTCTGCCAAAATCTCTGGTTCATGTGCAATATTGTTGTTTTACATTTTATGATATACTTAAAATTTTAGCTGACACCTGTGTATTTGGTAGTGTTCACTGAGTTGTGAATCATCATTTAGTGTGCTTTTTTCCATGTTCTTTAAAGTTCATATATATAAAATTACAAAGATTTATAGGGTGCATGAAGTAGCATAGTTGGTTGAGGCACTATGCTACACGTTGGAAGGTTGTGAGTTCAAGCCCCAGTGAGGTCATTGGATTTTTTCAGTTGACCTGATCCTTCCAGCTGGACTATGGCCCTGGGGTCAACTCAGCCTCCAACAGAAACGAGTACCAGGGATATTATTCTTGGGGGTAAAGGGCAGCCGGCGTGTAGGGCTGACAGCCTTGCTGCCATCTGTGAGCTGATTGTCTAGAAAGTGTAGGAACCTCAACAGCTCACAACCCTATTGGCCTCCATGGCCTGTTACAGGGATACCTTTGCATAGCTGATTTTCTGTTAGACATAACTGTTTTGTTCATAAAAGGATTTAAGAAAGCAAGAAAAGATATTGGTCATGAATGAGTGTGAGGAGCACACTTGGTACAAAAATATAAATCTTCAGTTATACAGTGTGTATTTTCTTGCCCCTTTCTACAAGTTGGGTGACATGTCTCAGCATATATATGTGCCATCTTCAGATACTCATATACTTAAATACATAAAAAAAGTAAAGCTGGAAGGATTAGGTCAACTGAAAAAATCCAATGACCTCATCGCGATTTGAACCCGCGACCTTCCGGCTTGTAGTGTAGCACCTCAACCACTATGCTACACTTTGTTCACTTTGCCAGTGGAAACAGGTAACAAAGGACTTTCTGTAAACAGTTATGCAATAAGAAATTTTATAATTTGTGCTCTTGACCTACAATTTTAGGGTGAATAAATCAACGATGGGATGGGACATGTAATTTAAACTGCAAAATGCATTTAACGTTTTTATCCACAAGCCTCAAGGGAAGAGATCACACATGAGACCTAGGCGTGAACAGGGTAGCATTAGAGTGAGTTCAGAGAAATAGGGAGTAATGAACTGGATTCAGCTGGCTGAGGGTAGGGTCACTGATAGGCATTTCTGATCCCATAAAAGTAGCACACTTCTAGACCAACTATCATGGAGCTATCACGGAGTATAAAAAAATTCTTTACACTGGTTGCTCATTGAACAGTTTTAATTATTTCTCATGTTATGTTAGCCAAATACTGCAATAAATGGACAAAAGTTGCGGTGGTGCGTGTTCGTCATGGTGCCCACCGACTTGTAGCCAGCTGTTTGCCACTGCTGCAGTATGTGGAAAAACAGAATGTGATAGTGAGGACTTTGCATACTGGAGCAACTCTGCGGCAGTGTTACAGGTTTATACAGGTAATGTGTTTCACAGTATTTTGTTTGAAGAATGGTAGTGATGTCTAATGAAAAAAGCATTAGTATACTCCTGATTTTATCGTGTTGTATTTTAATACTACATTCCAGATTCATTTTATTTACCTACATGAACTATGGTAGCTCAGTCTATAGACTGGATTGCCACAGGTTGATTCCTAGCATAGTCATGGATATTTCTCTTTTTTACATGAATGTTAGCTGTAACAGCTGACCAGTCCCTGTGCACAAAGTACCAGGAAGAGAAAGGACACAGCATGAAGCTAACCACTTTTACTTTACTCCATATTCCCTCAAAACATCTTCATGGTGTGACATGATCCTAGTTTGTAAAGCATTATTAACCTTTACGGTGCCAAGAACTATTTTATCAAGCAGAAAAACATGGAATTCAACATCAAGGAATTCATTGGCAGTTATATTGGATCATGGGAGGCTGACACGCACTTAAATAAACCCATATTAGACTTTTATAGATTATGTATATTTTAATTAAAAATTTAAGATGACTAGAATTCAGACTTGGCTAGAGCTATGCCATAATCTGGAGGACACTTTCTTACTGTCACCTTTCTGCCCTAATCCCTTAATGGTCATTCACATTATCAATGGTAATATTGTCACATGAAATTCATATCCCACCATACACCTTTTGCTCACAGCAAACCTTCCCTGGGGTAACCTAGTGTCAAGACTTAATTCCTTGAAGCAAGCATTTCATGCTGCTGATGCTTTCTAATAACTGGCTCAAGTGGCAAGTTTGTGCTTTCCTTTTAATAGTTTTGGCAGCAATACTCTCTGAAGTTGGTCTTTGGAAGGATAGGGGAGGTTCATTTAATAACACCTTACTACTCACAATAGTAAACACAAGCACTCCTCATCACAAGTGTTTCAGTGTGAAAGAGAAGTACAGTAATTTAATTAATTGTTGACAATGAATTTACATCACTGCCCTTATTTACAGCACTATCCTAGATAAAACCATGATACAAGAGCCCTCAGATGTTTTACCCTGAGGCTAGCCTGAAGATCTAACACGTCATGAAAGCACCATGAAATTGTACAAATTCTTGAGAGGAAATGCTACAACTTATGCCTGTTGCTTTCAGCATCATCAGAGATCTTACTTGGAGAAAATATGGTCGAGATTAAAATCAGAAGATGAAAGGAACATGATGGAAGCTGCCCTCATGGATCTGAATTGTCTAGAGGCTTTGGGACATATAGACATCAACACCAAAAAGGCAGAGGCCACAGAAAACAAGTAATGGTGAATTGTGGTACATTAACCAATACTGTGGTTAATTTCCACAATTTTGAAACGTGAAAATGTTACTGGTCGACAAGCATTTATGGAACCCACCAGCTTGTCATGCAAAATAATTTAAAACTTGGCATACATGTATAGTGTTATATTAATAAAAACATATTTGCTGTATGCACTGAGAAGAGATTCAAAATAGCTCTAGTCACCTGTAACCGTATCATATTTTACTCCATGGTGTGTTACATAAACTTGTGCCGTTTACGCTCTGCTACCACAGCACTGTCACTCTCTGGCACCTTTTGGTTCCGTCTACCCTTCCTCAATCGGGGGGGTGGGGGGGCTCACACGCCGCCTATGTTAGAGTAAAGGATCCAAGCTAGCAGCGGGGCAAGTCTAGTTACAATGATGGGCATAAACTAAAAACATATAACAAAATTTAATAAACCCAACTATTGCGTTTCTAGCCTGGCCAGGCTGAATCAAAGCAAATACACAATATATATTACAGACACAAGTTTAACCCCAACTGGTCCAAGTCGCCACCATGCACAACCCTGACAGGCGACCGCGGGCGATCTCACCGGCCGCGAACCAGCTCCCACACACCAAAACCAAATTTAGACTCCCTGCCAGACAGAAATTTGACAATCACTTACTAGCTGGCTCAGCGCCGCAAGCACCCTATGGATCCATAACCAGTACTGTCCTTCCAAACTCGCATTAACTTCCAAGAAAGGCTCCCAGGGGAGAAGGGGGGGAGAGGGCAACACCACGTGATCCAGTCCCACATGGGGAGGAGGGGGGATAAGTTTAAAGACCTCGATCAAGGGGCTGGAAGCCCATGACATCATACCAGAGCCAATGCCAATGCATGGCTCAAACTGACAACTGTTTGAAAAATTACAAAAATTTGCAAATAATTTAAGCACCATAAATATAACATGAAAAATATTAAGGAGCAAGAATGGAAGGCTGTACTCAGCTGTTAGTATATTAAATTCAAAATTATATTTTCTTCTACTTCAATTTGTATACAGTGGAGTCGTATCATATGCATATATATAGCATACATGAATTCAAACATGCATGCCCTCCACTGGTCTCTATCCTGAGCAAGATCAATCCAGTCCACACAACCCTAAGACCCATTTTAATATTATCCACCAACCTACATCTCAGTCTTCCTAGTGATCTCTATCCTTCTGGTTTTCCCACCAATATCCTTTATGCATTCCTCTTCAGCCCAATTCGTGCTACATGCCCTGCATATCTCATCCTCCTCGATGTGATCATTCTAATTATACTTGGCGAAGAGTTCAAATTATGAAACTCCTCATGTCAGAGACCAAGTTTCACATCCATACAGAACCACTGGCAAAATTAGTTTTGTATATTGTAATTTTTACATCTTTAGATGAGACGACAAAAGATTCTGGCCTGAATGGTAGCAAGCATTACCTGAATTGTCTCTGTCTAACTTCCTTCCGAATCAAACTTTGATTTGTTACTGTTTCTAAATGTGTGTTGAGAATATTTGGACCAAAGAGAGATGAAGTG